AAGGATGTGGCTCTGGGGTCAGGTGAACCTGGGTTTGGGTAGCACCTCTGCCACATAAGACGGTGACCAACTCTCTGTGGACCGTAGTTTCCTTACACATAAAATGTGGATAAGACCATGATCTAAACCTTAAGAAGACTTTTTACATTTCTTTTTTTTTTTTTTTTAAATAACTAGTCAGCTTTTGAAACTTCGATTCACATAAAACTCAGAATCATTAGGCATTTGTAAATGAAGCATTAATGTTATCTGTCTTGGATGTAATGACTTTTAAGCAAACATTTATGTCAAGCACCTAGCACTATGCCTGACGTGCAATTATTTATCTGTTGTTTGTTTGTTTTAAGTTCATGCTTTCTGGAGAGAGAGAAAGTGAGAAATCACTCCCCAGCATGGGATGGCCATGCCACAATCCTTTCACCTTCATTCTTCTCTTGGGATTTTGGCATACACAAACATACCCACCATACTTTTCAAAGTTGCTAGGTCTGGGACTCAAACTCCAGAGTCATCCATGTGGGATCCAGAGCCTTAACCACCATGCCACCTGCTGACTCCTGAAATTGGTATTTTTAAATGTTGACTCACATTAGAATTATCATTAAAGAAGGCAGGTGAGAAATGGGATGGTGTTCTAGTCTGTTCTTTTACTGATAAAGGAAATATTCGAGTCTGGGGTAATTTAAGGGGATAGAGGTTTATTCGACTCAGGGTTTGGAGATCCCAAGGTCCAGAGGCCGTAACTGGGGAGGGTCTTCTTGCTGGGGGGTAACGTGGTGGAGAGCAGGAGCTTGAGTAAGCAAGGCATGACTGTCTCATTCCTTCTCCTTATAAACCCCCCCAGAACTCAACCATGGGATCCCCTCCCTGATGCCTAGTCAGTTCCCAAAAACCCCAGCCTTTGACATTCATCAGAGTAAGTCTCCACCCTCTCAACATGTTCAGTGGCTCATGAAATTTTAACACATTTTGTGGAGGATACAGTTTAACTATAACAAATGATGAGAAACAGATTGAGCCGTAAGAGATGTAGTCAAGGAAAGAGGTCTTTGTGGTCGGTGGTGTAGAAAAGCTTATGGGAGACAGGCTAGAGCAGTTAAAGAAGGAAATGGGGGAACCAGCAGTTAACATAATGGCTATGTCGCTGAACTCCCATGTAGTCAGCCGCGGTTCAAGTCCCGGACCCGGTGGCTTAAATTCAACACCGGGCACGTGTGCGTGCGTGCCCAAGATCCCGAGAGGAGAATGGAGGAGAAGGGATTGCCGCATGGCCATCCCCCCTGGGGGGTGATTTCTCACTTTCTATCTCTCTGTCTCTCTCTTTCTGGCGAGAGCACATGCCTTATAGGAAAAACCTCTCATCTGTTACAAAGGTCCGCACTTCTGACCAAAGATATGCTGGAAGCCACATGAGGAAGGATCATGGGCAGGGCCCCATTACCAACTGGAGCTCCTATCCCAACATGAATCTCACTACAAGGCCTTCATCTAGAAGTCTGATCTGAGGAATCGGAATCAGGGCTCTCATATTAGTGTATGCAATGAAGAGAGACAGGAACTGGCACTTATTGGACCTCTACCATGTGCCAAGACCTGTGCTAGGCACTTTCATAAATATTGTATCTGTTAGCTATTTTCACAATGAAGCTGTGTAACAAAACTCAACAGCATACAACATCTATGGGGAAAGTGAGATTTTGATGTTCGAAATTGGACTACGGCAGGCCATAGAATGGGTTCAAGTCTGCTTAGTATGTCCCCCATACCTCTGATACCAGCAACTATCTAAAGGATAATTTTCTGTACACTGACCAAAGTTCAAGAGCAAGAGCCCAACAGCACTAGTCCACTTCAGGCCCTCACTTATTTACTGACACCCTACTGGCCACTGTGAGTCACATGGCTAAGACCACCGTCAGGAGGCAAGAAGTACATGCTGCCTCCATGAGGCCATTGTTAGGTTTGATTTGGGAGTGGAGGAGAAGTCAGGGCGGCAAAGGCAAAAATACCAGAGTCAGGCTTTGGGGTTTAATAAAACCAATAAAATTTACTCTGCAAAAAGGCTCTCAGACTGGTCAGAGGCTAAGGGAGTCACGCCCACGGTGGGTGCTGATCATTCTTAAAGGACCATTGTCCAATAGGTGGTCACCATAGGGCCTTGTCCAGTCAATGAAGTTTGCTGTTTCTGTTCAACTTTGGCGGGCGCGGCAAACGCTGAAGGATGGGAAAGTCCGTTGGTGATGGTGAGTCAGATGCAGAAAACAGGAGCGTTCCTACCTGCGGGGATGTTTCCGCCATGTTTCTTTTCCCTTTCCCCAGACCTTACAGCCACCGCAAGGATGTAGCTATACATCAGTGCTACTCCGGGGACATGATGATAGAGACCAATAATTCCATGGTCCACATTTGCTATTTTATTTCATCCTCTTTGAGTCAGAAAAAAACAAACTGCTTTTTCTCTGCTCCCACTCAACAATCAACACAGATCACTTCTGTGATCCCCAAATGTGTGGGGATTTCTTCCATCAGCAAGCAAGCAATCAGTTCTGCCGCGGACACCTGCTGGGCGCCCTCTAATCCAACTCCATTCTGATGCGTCTCCATGGAGATAAGTCAGAGCCCATAGGTTGAGGGCTCAGGCCCCAAGACCACCCCCACTTCAGACACTAGCAGCAATTCCGGGCCTCCGGAAGCTGAGGTTCCCATGATCCCCTCCCCTCCTCAGGTGCCTTTGCTAGAGCAGTTCACAGAACTCGGGGAAGCATTTACTTATGGCTACCGGTTTATCATAAAGGATATTTCAAAGGTTGAAGATGAAAGGTACATAGCACCGGCACGTGGGGAAGGGTGAGGAGCTTCCTCACTCTCCCTGGTGTGCCCCCCTCCAGGAACCTCCTGGCTTCCTGCTACCCAGAAGCTCTCCAAGCCTTGTCCTTTGGGTTTTTACAGGGGCTTCATTATATAGGCATGACTGATGACATCATTGGCCATCGGTGATCTCCCGGGAGGTTGGGGGTGGGGCAGAAAGTCTCCGGTGGCAGGTGACCAGCCCTCCTCCTGCAGCTGCCGAGGGGCTGCCAGCCCTCAGGTCGCCTCATTAGCACACAAATTCCAAGAATTTCAGAAGTTGTATGGCAGGAAAGGAGGAAAAAAGACCAAATATTTATTTCAAAATATCCCACTCTTCAACAGCTCCGATGGCCATTATGAACACAAAGCAGGGATAAAGAACTCAGGCTCAGAAAACACCAAGGTACATTTGTCTTCGTCTTTTTTTCAGATTTTTGACATAGAATGTGTGCACTCCCGAGACAGAGAGTTAAAAAGCTTTCCCATGGCGGATGGCCAAGCTGCAATCCCTTCTCTTCCACTCTGTCAGGACTTGGGGCGCACACACCACAAATCATGTTTTTCAAGCTAATGGGTCCAGGACTCGAATAGCGGAGTAGACCATGTGGGATCCAGAAACTTAACCACCACGCCACCTTCTGGTCCCCCACATTATACTTTTTTTCTTTCTTTCTTTCTTTCTTTTTTTTTTTTTTTTTTTTTTTTTTTTTTTTTTTTTTTTTTGTGGTTTTTTTGTGTGTGTTTTAGGTTTTTGTTATAGGGCACGTGCACTTGCAATTTTACAGAAAGAAAGAGATTCAGAAAGAACGAAAATGCGGAATCCCAGCCCCCACCCGCAGGGAGGATGCCAGGTCACAATCCCTTCTCTCGGGATTGTGGGCATGCACGCACATGTGCCCAGCATGAGTTTCAAGCCACTGGCTCGGGACTCAAATTGCGGTCAACTGTGCGAGAGTCCAGCACTTGAACCACTCCACCTGCCCCAGCTCCCACATTACGTTGGAAACAAATGATTAAACCATGCTTTCTCCCCACCATGGCTTAGATGGAGTCAGGATTCAGGTTTGTGCCTAGTCTGCCTGGCTCCAAATATGGGTCTTCTGCCATTTTAAGCAACCTGTTAAATTGAGAATTTTTTCTTTCTAATTTTCTTTCTTCAGAAAGACAGTGAGAGAGGGAAGCAGCAGTTAGCGTAATGGCTATGTCGCTGGACTCCCATGTTGTCAACCGCGGTTTGCGTCCCGGACCCGGTGGCTTAAAACCCACACCAGGCGCGTGTGCATGCGTGCCCAAAATCTGGAGAGAATGGAGGAGAAGAGATTGCGGCGTGGCCATCCCCCCTGGGGGGTGATTTCTCGCTTTCTGTCTCTCTGTCTCTCTCTGTATGTCTGGCGAGCGCACGCGCCCTATAGTGAGAAACCTCTCAAGAAAGAAAGAAAGACAGTAAGACAGTGAGAGAGAGATGGACATCTTCAGAGAGTCTTCATGCCATGATTCACCCCCAGCCTCAGCCAGACAGGATCAGAAGCACAAGCACGCCCAGTGTGTATGGGGAGGCCTTGTGACACAGCCTGGGGACGTTCCCACATGGCTTCAGCAGTGTGGAGTTACCACTGCGCCACCGCAGCTGGCCGAGAATTCGGCTTTGAAACCGGGAAGCAGGCCGTGCAAGAGTGAGCTACCTTAAAATGAAGCAGACCTAGAGAGAAGGATCACATGACACGGAGAGTCTGGGAGGTGATCCCAGGAGCCACTGGAAAGAAGGGGGTAAGAGGAATGAGCCAGTCACAGCTGCGGGAAGTCAGCCAGCCAAGGATTGAGATGCCCAATAGAAGGGGGTCACACACCTCAAAGCTATCCCCACCTGTCCCCATCAATGTCCAGCAGCTATGGAAAAGCACCTTGAGGGACCAGCAATTGGCGTAATGGCTATGTCGCTGGATTCTCATGTAGTTGACTATGGTTCGAGTCCCGGACCCGGTGGCTTAAACTCACTCCGGGCACGTGTGCGTGTGTGCCCAAGATCCCGAGAGGAGAATGGAGGAGAAGAGATTGCGATGTGGTCATGCCCCCTGGGGGGTGATTTCTTGCTTTCTGTCTCTCTGCTGAGCACATGTGCCCTATAGCAAAAATCTCTCCAAAAGAAAAAAGAAAGAAAGAAAGAAAAGCACCTTGGTTCACAGGACTCCAACTATTGATAAAATCACCCAGGGAGTTTTATTTAAAATTGTGGTGCCTGGGTCCGGTCTCCAGAGATCCTGGGCTGATGAGACTGGGTCGGCCTGGCACGGGACTGGAACAAGCTCCCCGGGGGCTGCATGTGCACGTGACAGTGTGGGAAGCCTTGGTCTTGCAGACTTCTCAGATCCCGCGGAGCCTCCAAGTTTGGGGCCTCTTTGAACGAGTTCAGCTGAGGATGGAAACCCTGAGAAAGCGGCCCAGGCAGCTGGAGATAAATCACTCACTGGCTGGCGCTGCAGCTGCGGCTTGAGAACTGTGCTTTCTGGCCTCCGCTGTCCGTGCTCCCGTGACCAGAACGCAGCTCGTCCCACAGACTTTCTTTTTAGAAAGAAAGAAAAAAAAAAACTGTTAAGCATATTTTCCGAGGTTTAATTTCCTTCCAGTGTCCTGAAGAAACCTTCCTAAAACCTTCTGCAGCCTCAACCCCACTCTCTAGTAATAACATCAAAGACTTTGAAATGGAGACCCAGGGAGACTTTGCTAAAGTCAACAAAGCCCAGGGGAGGAGGGAAATGAGACAGAACACAGGGCTTAAATTGTCACCAAAGAGGTGAGAGAGGAAAGCTGGTTGGGGTGGGAAGGGGATGCCGAATCCCAGGAGTTTAAAATTTGGGGAAAGAAGAGAAACACACCAGTTTTGCCAGATTTAATAAATGAACTCCAAGGTGCCTAGTTCGATATGGATTTCCGATAAATAATACATATGCATACTGTGTATCTTACACAACACTGAGATATACTTATGCCAAATATTGCACGAGCTATACTTACACTGAAGATACCATTCACTGCCTAGCTGAAATTCGCATTGGGCACTCTGCGTTTTATCTAAGTGTCTCGGGTCTTGCCAGGGTGTTTCTGGCCTTGGCAAATTTGCTGTTGGAGAAAATTCCCAGAGAAGATGAGGAAATACAGAGGTGAGAGGGGAGGGCCCAGTCCCTCTCTGCCCGCTGTCCCCTGCCCTGTCCTTCCCCAGCCCTGAGAGGAGCCCCAGCCACAGTCCAGGGTGAGAGTGTGCCCTTCTTTCTGCGACACGGATCTGGAGAAAGGGCTGTAAAAGGCAGGAGAGTTCCTGGGCCCCAGTCCTGTGTGATGGAAAGGGGGCCTGGAGGCTTACCCGTCCCTCCCCACAACACGCACTCGGGCCGCCTTCTGCCAGCTCTGCATTTTTCTCCCAGTGCTCCTGCATCCGCCCTCTTCTCTTCCCACCCCCGTCCCTCCAAATAAGGAAGCCCGAGGCAGCGCCACGGTCAGGC